AATATTTTAAAACAGAAACCTTTCAAGAAAAGAATATAGGGATTCCTTTTTAAAGCTTAAAATGCTTTTGTGATTCCTCTGGAGTAGGTGTCTATGGGTGGCGCTAATCGCTTACCATCAGGCGAGCCATCTGCTCGTTTCACGCCCTATTTTGTAAATGAAGTTAAAATTATAAGAATAGAATTCACAGTTACTCATTTACGAATAAATAAATAATTTTATCTTTCGCTTGAACTCCGCGCGAACTTCTTTTATCAATTCGTGCCCAACATCACTTTGCAAACATGAACTTCATTAGAACACAATCTCACAGATGGCGTTACTGTCGCTCAGTATTTTAAATTAATTTAATCTTTTTAAAACTGAAAGCACCTATTAAGTATTTACCTTGTGGCGTTATCTTAACTATTGCCACCTTAAGACATTTCATTGTAAATCCCCCTTTATAAGGAAGGACGAGGTCTCAAGAGCCTCTAGTTACTGAGAATGGGAACATCAAACTGAAACTAATTTCAGAAACATTAATTTGCGAGAGATGTCCGTCTGGGAGACTGTGACCTCTGCAATGGTTTATGGGTCAAGTTCGTAGATTAACATACCTTTCTATAATTATATTATGTACTCTCGTTAGTTGTAGGTCGTAGGCCTGCCTGCTTTTATAGGGGAATAGTGATGTTGATAGACTGAAGGACTTTGTGTATGTATGCTTGTAAAGTTTATTACGTTCGATTAACTCATCTACTATTTACTACAAATTTCCGTGCCTTTAGGCGCTTTTGCCATACCTATTATTGGAAGCAAGTATAACAGCTCACACATAGGACCCACTTAGTTTTTTAGTCAAATTTCCGTGGTGCTTGGCGACTGGGCTTCACCCAGTTGTAGTCTCTTCTTTGTGCCTTTAGGCTTAATTCATTCTGTCTCCTGCAGTAATTCACCGAGGGAAGTGGAAACTATAGTTTTTTCTTCTTCTCCTCTTATAATATCGTCTGATTCACTTCGTTGCGGGAACCAAGACAGTTACTCATGTCCCTGGGACGCGCCGGACTTCAATGTTCCGGTGTTTTCATGGTTGTATCTACTGTAGATCTTGGCTTACAGGAGTTGCAGCGGTTTTGGGAGGTAGTGGCGGGCTTGTCCCAATTTAAAAAAAATAACTCATCTACTAATGTAAGTACCAGATTTCACTCATATAGTTAAATACCTAATACGGATCAATGATCGAGTGGATGAAACGTGAAGTCCGTCTCTACATTTAGCATAGGACATTAGTCTCAGGTCTATGAAAGCCTACAAACATACACCAGTCCTATTAAACTAAGTTATAAACTTACACTTAAATCAACTTTATCAATGAACATTTTATTAGATTCCTAATCAACGATAACTACAATAACCAAACACACACAACTTACCCATTTTTCACACCTGGAAGAGATACCTTACCCTGAGACATACTAAATTAAGTAAAAATCGCAGGCTACTCATGTTAAAATTACTAAAACCGACGTGAAGCGACGCTTGCGTTGTGTTTCGTCGTGTGAGTGAGGTTACCGGAGGCCCAGTTACCCCCCCCCCCTTCCCCAATCTCCCCATTCCTGATTCCCCTACGATCCTCAAACTCCTAATCCCCAAAAGGCCGGTAACGCACTTGTAACGCCTCTGGTGTTCCAGGTGTCAATGGGCGACGCCGATTGCTTAACATCAGGTGATCCATCTGCTCGTGTACCGGCTTATGCCATAAAAAAAAGAAAACACGTAACAGTTTCGAGCCACAGAGGGGCTCTTCCTGATGAGCAGAGTGCAAGGTCGCGGCGATGTCGCGCAGCCTATTGCGGTTAAGCTAGTAACCCGTGGTTTTTAGTTGATACCTTACCTTACATAAATATATTTAACATGTTATTACCTTGAACAAACATAATAAAACAACTCAATTACGAAATTGTACCTTAGATGAGTCAGTAAAGAGCAAAGATCTTCCAAAATATGAGTACTTGAGTAGGTCAGGCACAAAACGAGCCATTACGAGAGAATTTTATATTATTCGACATTTCAGTAATTCTGTACGACGGTCATATTCACCGGGGACCACGCTACAAAGAGATATTAAATTTAAAAATGTACGCTAGCGAGATTGCTCGACGAAATAGGTACACTGTGCTCGAGAAATATTTCGGTCTGTACTATGAAGGGTTGAAGACATATCTAATGATAGGCAAAATAATAAGAAGTCGACTGTTTTGATGTGGAAATATTTATTTTTTATTTCATACAAAATATGTGTCGGTTTCTGTGTCCATAACGTTTAGATTAAAGTTGACTAAAGGGCTTCTGCGCATTTGGCTTCGGCCTCGTATGTCGCCCAAATAACGGGTCCTGTGAATGGTAAACGCACATAAAAAGATAGCTTTTGGATGAGGGGGGAAAATCATCCAATGACATCTCCGGTTCGAGTGAGGCAAGAGGGAGTGTCAGACTCTTACTGACTAAAACCACCCTGTTCCTACTCCTATTCTTTGCTAAGTAGTATTTAAAAATGTAATTAACAGATGCATTTAAATAAATAATATATAGAAATAATAATAATAGTTATTACAAGCACATGCAAGGGCGCACAGCACACACTAAATGAAGTGAAAAAAGATTTTGTGGATCGCTAAACAACGAATTTCTCGATATAGAAATCGAAATCCTGACGCACTATGCTGCCGTCTGTTGCCCAGTCAGTGTACTAGCCGTTCAGTTAAAAATATGATTACTTCTTTTGTCAACTAATAATTGTATTTTTAACATATATGTTTAATATTTCATCCGTACCGGGCAATTAATAACGTACAAAAAAAACAAACAAACCCAAGTTCTTACTCCTTCATACCTATAATTTTATTGTAAGAAAAATGTAAGTGGTGCGGCGTCACTTTTATATCTCATTTACAATCCACCAGCGTCGCAGTTTGATGGATCGTCAAACGCTGAGATGTCGAGACACTTGTAGCCACTGCTTTGAGCAGAGTTTCATTGCTTGTTCAACTTGTAGGTACAATGTCCTCAAAAAATATGACGAGGGAACTTCATTATTGTAAGTGGCTTCACATTTTTTTATTGTTGGAACTTCTTTCTTTTGTTTCTATGTAGGTATTTTGGTTGTGTAAATTATAATGAGTTGCGAAATCATATTATTATGTGTATTATAATCACGCATTTTTTTTTAAAACCTATATTTGATGGGCCGACGTTTGGCCACTATCTTGCCTGGTGGAAAGGGATGAACGTTTGGCGTAGTACGACGAGTAATTTAGGAGTCTTTAGTTCAATGGCAAAACTTCTATTCCTCTTCTCCATCAAAAGTGTAACGGCGTAATGTGTCACAGAGTTAATCATAAAACTATAGACGGTCAAAATGGCGACCATAGACAATATCGGTATTCTCGTCATTCATAATACTGTGGGTGGGTGGTGTGTGTGTCCCATACATTAGCATGCATATTTAATGATAGTGGGACGCCACAATCGGTCTACGATGGAGCATCTACCCATAAGCAACCTATTCACTCGAGCCTTGAAGACACCCAGGTCATACTCTCGTACTCATTACGCACAAGGAATTAAGGAAGCTTGATGCAAAGCGCTTTGTGCGTGTGTACGAGTCATCAATCATGAATCAAAACATGTCCAAAAGACTAAAAGAAAAAAGCTATTGTACACGTATGTACCTATGCACTGTTGATAGTAGATCAACGTAATCCAATCTGTATTTGTACCTAGATCTAGATGTCCTAAAACCCTATGAAAACCTCCTTCTTTCTGCTAAAGACGGTTGAAAATAAAATAAAAGATTCAACAAATCTAAATACAACTACATCACAGGAGATTCAGGAAAAAGGATTCGTTTCGATCATTAAAATTCAATTTGACAGCCATTCAGAATTGTTTAAAGGGATTCCTGCCCTCAGTCACCCTTTTCGAACCTTTTACTTAGCAATTAAGGTGGCTCCTGCTATTTTATTGGGAATTCTCAAGGTATTTTACGGGGGAAACTAATTTAGTTGAAATATAAATTAAGTTTATTGTAATCTCGATTTAGTGAGGTTAGTTTTGGAGGTGATTATTTTTCATTACTAATTTGTTTGAAGAAAAGAAAAGTTTAAGTCATTTCTGGTGGTAATTCAAGCCGTAGCATGATTAGGTACTAAACAAATGCTTGACAATCTGCACCAGGATCATAAGTCTACACTTCAAAAGAGGGATTGCTCTGAGGGCAACAACAAGCGACTATTGAAGACCACAGTTAAAAAGGTTCACAGAGAATGCTGACGATCGATTTACTTTATATTAGTATGTGTAGTCTCTTAGGCTAAGAGCTCACGAAGCGATTTTTTCCCGTGCCCGTCGTGGTTGCAGGCCCGCAGCCTGTGTAGAATATACCTCTAGATATGTATGTAAAAAATTAAAGCACATTTCACGGCGCGTTTTACGCCTGTGGCATGTGCCATTTATGTGGTTTGCGGCTCCCACTGTACCGGGCGCTCGTCTTGTACCAGCGGCGGCCGCGGTCCTGCAGCCTCGGCAGGTTGCACCCGCGCGCTCTGCAATTGGTTGGCGGATCGCAATGGGTAGGCCCGTCTGGAAAACAGCTGATAATCGCAACCGTGGTGGCTGCGTAACCACAGAATATTTACAGTTTTGCAATTAAATCTCCATTCCGACACCATGGCAGGCGCGGGTGAATATCGCGTCGTGAGTCCGTTGTATCGTTGTGTTAGTCAGTTATAAGACACTCGCGAAGCGTAGGTAACTCTAGGTACTAGGTATCTAGGTGTGGTAGAGGTAATAACAAATGACATCACTATACAGCCTTATGCCACTCTATAACTTTAAAACCAGTTTTAATTTGATGGCTCATAAAAACGTCGAAGTATACTAGGAGCTAGAAATAAAACAAAAGATGATAATAAAAATTAATTTATTTCAAAATATTATATTAACAATTTTACCACAAAAATTATGATACAATTTATTCTTCACAATCAAAATAAACATTTAATTATTTTACAAGATATACAAGTGACACTACATTAGGTAACATTTTACTCTCCAATACAGAATAAATAAGAATTGGTTAGTATCGATTTGGCACAAATCACATAAACAAGCCAGATTCAAAAATTAATAAAAAAATATCCATAAAAAAACTGAGCATTTTAATTTATTATGCTAACTTTATTTTATTTTTAAATGTCTACGCCGCCCTATGCACGTTCATGGGTTAAAAATGTTCCTTTTCTCATTAAAAACAAATAAGAGAAAGTTCGCGTTTCAGCGACTAGTCAGGCGCAAGTAAAGACAAATAGTAAACCCTTATAATAACTTTTTAACAGTAACTGGCACAAAATTCGTAAAGAATATGTAAAGAAGTAGAAAGATTTGTTCTTAAGAATGAAATTTAAAACTTCCGATAAAAGTTATACCTAATTAAAAAATATCTGGCGCCAACATTGGATCCAACGTTTGGTCTCATAAGGCAGTCAGTTTGTTTACAAAAGTAGCAGAACAAACATTGGTTCCAATATAAACGGTATTTACGAAATAAATGTATGAAAGTATAGATGGCACTTTGCCAGAGACGCGTAAAAATAGATTTACAAAAATAGTAAAGTACAGTAGTCTTTGTACCTGCATTTACAATTCAGGTACCTTAAAATATACATCACCGTGTAATGCCATATTTACATATTTATTATGCACATTTTGTTTATAAAAACAGGGACTAGCCTTGGCTAAGAAATTACAATTATCATTTAATTAAGTACAAAAATATAATTATCTAAAAATTCGTTATTCACATTATAAAATTTATTATATTATTTCGAGAGTTCAGTCGTATTTTTAACGCGAAGATAATTATTTATATTCGTTGAACACAAACGTTACACATTTCCAAAAGAAAATATTAAAATTTCTTCGGACGGAATTCACTTTATTTCACTTTAAGGTCACTTTTGTTTGTTTGTTAACACTTGGAAAAAGGAAATGTTATCACTATGCCTTTCGAGTTAAGGTTTATAATTCCGTGGTAGTTTCCACTGGCGACTGGTCGTAGTTGTATCCGGTAAAGTTCCTCTTACCGAACGTTACATTATCGTTGTCTGATGCCCTGGAATAAAAGAATCTATTATTACGATTAGCAGTTCATGGGTTTTCATTTACTAAAGGAGTCACAAACGTCTATGGATATAAAGTCTATGTATACCAAATATAGGTTAGAAAAAATAAAATCATGTAATAGTAATCACACAACTGCCTCGTTGGCCGATTGGTCGCAAGTGCGACTGCCGGGCAAGGGGTCTCAGGTTCGATTCCCGGGTCGGGCAAAGTATTACTGAGTTTTTAAAAATCCCAGTACTGAAAGTTGCACAGAGTCTGGAATTGTGCCCGGCATATGACAATAGGCTCAGGCCTCCTATTACATGGGACTCATAAACATATAATAGTGAAAAGTGGGTGTTACATTGTACAGTGGCCTTAAGTGCCGTAATGTGCAAGTGCAACTCTGCTTATCCCTTCGTCGTGTATGTATGTGAGTAATCACACGATTGGTTAAGATTTCATACATATAGGTACTTCATCATCAGCCTATAATGCCGTCCCCGTTGCCATGACCACATAATCTAATTGTTTGAGTCTCTAAGTTGTTGGTCACAGTTATAGAGCATCCACTATGCCTATAAGGTTATACGCGTTTACTAACAGATATTATTTGAGGGCAGAAAATCATCCATTCCATCATCGTAACACAAGACAATCGACGAAGCGTCACCGATTTATGATGGATGCTCCACTTACATGCACGAAGCTCTTCGCGTCACGCTTCCTTGTGCGTACTGCTAAGGAGTAGAATTCTTTGCCAGAGTCTGAGTGTCTTCCAGGCCCAAGTGAATAGGTTGCTTATGGGCAGACATGTTAAACCGTAGACCGCATCATTGCTTACCAACAGGTGAGAGAGCGGCCAAACGTCGTCGGCCCATCTTATATCTTATATCTTATACTATTATATAAAGCTGAAGAGTTTGTTTGTTTGAACGCGCTAATCTCCGGAACTATTGGTCCGATTTCATTAATTCTTTTTGTGTTGGATAGTGATAGTGCATTTATCGAGGAAGGTTAGGTTATAGGCTACAAAACATCACGCTACGGTAAATAGGAGCCGAGCAGAGCGGGTGCAACCGCGCGGAAGTAGCTAGTCAAATTTATATATATATAAAAAACATCCAGTGACTTCTCCCGCCCTGAGAGGGGCGAGAGGGAGTGTCAGACCCTTATTGACTAAAACAACATCCCGTTCTTACTCCTGAGCCCTCCTCCTCTCCGGCTCTCTGTCCTCTGCGGCTCCGTATACTAACAGACACTTAACCATGTTAATAAAACTACACAACAAACCTTTGTAACCCAGGTATCTCATCGTACGCCATGATAGGTTGCGTAGATTTCTTCTTATGGTTGTTCCCACCGTTGATCTTCCGTCCTAGTGTCGTGGCCAGTAGGCCGGTGGGGGCGTGGTTGTTGTTGACGCGCGGCAGCGTGCCGAGTGCGTTGTTGAGCGGGTGCGGGCCGGACACCGCGCGACGGTTTAACGTTTGCGTATTACGACTTAGTGCCGAGTTGTTGGCTATTGGCTCGAACACCTACAATATTAAAATCTATTAGTCACGAGGAAAAATAAGGTGCAGTGCAGGAAAGACGACAATGAACTGTCTAGACTTCTAAGGCCTTAGTACAAGTTTGTTCTACGTTTAAATTAATCCAAACGAGATCGCGTTCGGCGCTCTTTTTAGTTGGTTCATTGGCGCCGGCCAATCACAGCGACGAACGCGTACTCGTTTCGAATACTGAAATGATCACGACCACACCGACAAGTGTGTGATGACAAAGTTATATATCTTAACCCTATCAGACGCAACACGTCCACAGCTGAACATAGACCTGAGAGATAGAAACGTTACCGCGTTTATTAACCTTCTGATTAGTTGGTTCATTGAAACATGTCAATAATCGGGGGGCCGAAGTCAGTAATGTTTCGATCCCATTAAACGTAAGACAAATCGTACTAAGCCCTCTCTGTTAATTGGCCGATCTGGAAATCATTCCAGATTGATCGGTTGAAAGAAAATTGCATCCAGCAGCCTCCGGCGACCTTTATTAGTGGTTTATATACGTTTTTCCATCCTAAACTCAAATAACATATTGTAAGGAAACGTCGTCGGTTTGACGTTTGTAAAACTGTCAAATTCAATTGACAGATAATCATCGCGAACCGGCGCATCACTTTTTCGTTTCGTCTAAACTCTTTCTTTTTGTTAAATTGTGTGTAGCCAGAAATCAATAACAACAAATATTGTGATTAAAGTTTTAGTAATATTAAATTCATTAGTTTTTTTTTTGTAAAGGTTGTTTTATTTGTTTATAATATAATATATCTCACCTGACTACTGTGCATGTTGTTCAGTGTTCCTCCATTCTCGTTGACACTGGATGCGCGCGCTGTAGTCGCTGTCTCCGAGAGCGTTGGACTACGTTCACCTGAAATAGACGCATATAAATAATAGCCTTAGTTAAAGGTGTTAGTTATCTCTGGAGGAAGCCAGTGCACAGGGAGCTAAAAGTCTAAAATCCCTGACGCCGTATGTTTCTATAGACATTTTATCTCTCGATATGTGTTCGAACCATATATGTTTAAACCTCGATATGTGTTTAATCCACTATTGAGCAAATACACATGTATACAAGAGATAGAAGTAGTTATGAAAGGACGGATCGCTCTGTTACAATTAATTATTTACCTTATTGGAAGGTAATAAAGTTTAAAATCTAAGTTATGTAACAGTCCATGAATAATTAATTATTATTTTACAGGAATACTCAAGTTAACTTTAACTTACCGTTTTCTTTGGACATATATTGGACACTGTGTATATTGAATGCATGGTTGTTTGGACTGAAGTCTAACTGCAAGTCAGCATCATCAACCGCCATGTTTAAAACCTATAAACAGAAATTTTATGTTTGGAATATAAAGATTATTTAATAAAGAACTAAACTAATGAGTGACTATTTTAGCAATTTTCGTACCAGATTTTATAAAGATGAGATAAAAGAAGAAGAAATTGTGAACGAAATAGTATGATGGTTGGAGATTTGGTCATGACCCATGCGATGATAATATTACAATTTCTTTTTTAAGAAAATTATCATTTATTTTTATACTAACTTAATTAAGTGAGACCTACTAAATTAACTAAAAATCGCGGGTTACGAGCTTACGAGCTTACGAACTGATTATTATCATTTGCTTTAGTTTGCTTCTCAGAAAAATCTATAACATCACGTTTTTTTATATTTCGCTTACCGAAGAATCTAAGCATAAGGATCATTCAATCGATGAGGCGACTTTAAACTGCTCAAGAGAAATCATGCAACAAAGATAAATAGAAAAATAGACTAACAGAAAACAACTTACTCTTTCACATCGCATGCAGAAGCGAAACAAATTACCATGCGAATGAGGTGAAAATGACACATACTCGTTTATTTACCTGTGTCTCATACCGCGGCGCCGGCTCGTCCTCGCTGGACTCGTAGCCCGACGCTGGCCGCGGTGTTGGCATGCTCATACTTAGCGTGCCGTATTGCTGTATCGCTTGTTCTTTGTGCTTTTTGTATCTGTGAATTTGTTTTTTAGAATGTTTATAATAATAATCATATATGCTTTATTGTACACCATAAAATCGTACTACAGGACAATATTATCTAACAAAATAGTGTACAATGAGCGGTCTCATCGCACAAGGCGATTTCTTACCTTTGGATGGAGCAGCAATAGGAGTCTGATATGGGTCGTCAAGTGTACAATAATTAATAACTGTATAAAATACTATACATACTACACAAGAATATTAATATCACACAAAAATAAATAATACATATACAATATGATATATAAATTACATAATGGTTATGTATAAAAGCAAGAGAATCAATTTTAAAACATTCCATGTTTAAGTTCGATTGCGCAGGTGGTGTACAGACTAGACTAGTCAGTTGCGAAAATTCTTCCGGGGATGATTTCGTATTTGAAAATATGATTGTACACGAAACCAAGATATAGAAAATTTCGATAAGACCTCTAGTGTGGATTTAAAACCTTCATTTTTAAGGTTACCAGCATAATATTCGCAAAACTTTCTGTCAGTTCTAGTTTTGCCCTCTTAATCAAGTAACACCCCTACATAACGACAGTGCCCATTGTTTATTAGTAAGTAATACTGTGTAACAATTATTCTATACTAAACAGTAATAAAAGATTGGCCGTAGATATCGACAAGGATAATAATTAGGAAAACTTATTGTAACTTACAAGGTATTACATGGGACTTATAACATAAATAGTGAAAAGTGGGCGTTACATTGTACAGTGGTCTTAAATGCCGTAATGTGCAACTCTGCCTGCTATTAATAATTAAAAGTCGAATATTTCGAAAAGGGTTAAGTTTAGGGTAGGGTGTTTCATGGTGAAATAAGTCAGATATGATGAGTATTCCACGCCCTTGACGGATCTAGCACGACTTTTCCTGTAACCCTATGCCTGCTGTATTCCAACTTACCTATTCCAAGAAGCACAAATATAGATGGTAGCGGCGATAGCGGCGACGAGTACGACGGCGGCGAGTGCGATGAGTGCGGCGGGCAGCGCGGTGGCGAGCGGCGCGGCGGCCACCTGCGGCCGGCGCGGGGCCTCCGTCGGCGCCAGCGGGCCGCGCGCCGGGGACACCTGCGACTGCAGGCTGCTCGCTACTGCCTTGTGCATGCCTTCGTCTACAGCTCTGTAATGTCAAAGTACATTTTTATTACACCCCTAGATATTTGAATGCACGGTTGGCGCGATCGCTGGGCTGACACGCAACGTGTCGCGGGTCCGATTCCCGCAGGGAACAAGTCTTTATGTAATCCACAGATTGTTGTTTCGGGTCTGGGTGTTATGTGTGAAATTGTATGTTTCTAAATGCACTCAAGAGTCGCGTTTGTCCGCCGAGGCTTCGACAAGCGCCCACTACCAGAGACCATGTCGTAAATGCTTTTCTCGAGTTTACCGCAGTGGTGGAGGCAACCAGGCAAGTCAACATGCGGAAATGCGAATCCATTCTGCAGACTTACCTGCAAGGAAACGAGCTAATACTGAACGATAGACTCGAAGCAGCAGAAGCAGTCATATACGACAACAACACCTCGAGGGTACTGAGAGGAACCTCTATAACTCGAAGTATGGCTGCTTATAACGCAACTGCCGGATTTGTGTCTCTGGACGAGAGGGAATCCGATCGATGCGGAGTGTTAAAGTTTAAAACTCCTCCAGGGGATTCCCTAGTAGTGGTTGCCAAATGCACCAGAATTATGCTGGACGATAGAATATTAGAGATGGCAAGATCCATTTCTGATTCTGGATCAGACGGCGAAGTTTTTGGAGACTGGCATACTCCGACGTTTCGCTGGACAAATGGCGTCCCTGGTTGCGGAAAAACGACATGGATAGTAGATCAATTTGAAGCGGGCAAAGATCTAATTGTCACCACGACAACCGAAGCAGCAAATGACCTCAGAGGCAAACTATCCTGCCGAATCGGAGGACTCGTCAAATCTAGGGTTCGAACAATGGCGTCCATCCTAGTAAACGGCTTGGGGGAGCGAGAGAGCTGCCATCGCCTAATGGTAGATGAGGCTCTCATGAACCACTTTGGAGCCGTTGTGATGGCCGCCCGAATAACTCGAGCCAAGGAAGTCCTTCTAATTGGTGACATAAATCAGCTTCCGTTTATAGATCGTGATAACCTCTTCCCTCTACTCTACAGCCGCCCTACATATATCACGCCCATAAGCCAGGAATTGATGTGTACCCACAGAAATCCAATGGATGTGGCGTATGCCCTCAGCACAGTTTACAGTGGCATATATTCGTCCAGGTCGTTCGTGAGATCCCTCGAGATAAAAAGGTTCTCGGGGGCGATGATTCCAAAGTCACTCCCCGACACTTTATACCTGGTACACACTCAGGCAGAGAAGGAATCCCTTAAGAACCAGGGATACGGGTCGACCGTGGGATCACGCGTGCTCACGATACACGAGGCACAGGGACTTTCGTGTGCGAATGTGATTGTTGTCAACACAGCAACAAAGAAACATCAAATACATGACAGCGTACCACACGCGGTAGTAGCAATATCGCGTCACACGCATGGTTGCATCTATTACACAGACAACAGTGAAGACGCGATAAGCAAACTAATCAGGAAGGCGGCTGATGAGGGTGAGCAAGGTATTAAGGACTACAACCTGAAAATGGCCATCAAACACAGGGACGCGGCAGTCGTGGGTGCTCTCTTGGGCGGGGAGTGTTGCTTGTGATGGAACGAATGCAACATGAGGAAATGTGTGTGCAGAAACATGTAGAAATAGAATATGACCAATTGAATTTTGGACTATTGTACGCTTTATTGGAATCGGCCCATGTGGCAAGGGTTGAGGCGTCATGCACACATAAATGTCCTACAGTCGGTGGCGCTGTGTGTTGGGTTGTTCCGTTCCCAATAAAAAGGTTGACCGGACCAATTGCTGACACACACGTCATACTCGTGAACGGGTGCCTTCTGCTGGGTCAGGTCGGCTCTCCCATCGTGTTGGTGGGCTGGTTTCATAAAGCCTTTGAAATAGAAATAAATAAATAGTGCCTAATTATTATGTAACCTATACTTTTGCTAATAATTATAGATGTAGTTAATTGTAGTATGTAACTAGGTTCCCTCTTTACTTTATAAATATTGACTAGATGTATTATAATTAAAAAACTGTATGACAAGGGCACGGACCTAGAGTCCGTGGAGAAATAATCTTTAATATTATAAAAAAAAAAAAAAAAAAAAATGCACTCAAGACACGAGAAAATCCAAGTGTGGGGAAAAAATATGATCATTACCATCATCTAGTCTGTTTCCGACTAATGTTCACTGATGAACACACAAACTCGAAACCACGACAATGAGCTCAATCTGCAGCCTTTTGCGTTCAACCACTACCAATTACTTTGCGGAAAACGTCACTCCGCGTAGCTGAATACGCGATACAGGTGCAAATATCTATTTTTTATATTAATTTTATCTTACAACATACTAAACAAGCAGTGCTAAAACCGACAATACAATCATTCGATTGATTGCATTATAAGAATGAGACTTGAATTTTCTTACATCTTACAGTAAATGTTATTAAATGAACAAACTACAAACATATTTTTATCAATAAAGAAGCCACTTACTTCTTCACTGGCTTAGATTCTCTGCTCAAAATCTCTCCAGAGACAGGATCCAAAAGGTACAACCATACATCAGTTCCCTTCGGATCACTCTCAAGAGTTCCATTCTCTCCTAAATAATGTCTGGCAGTCAGTTTCTCTAATCCAGCGACTAGTCCAGTCTTCTCTTCGATAGCAGTGAGCAAGCTTCGAGATTTGCGACGCATGGCTTCAGCATTCTGGTCCGCAACTTCAACTACTAATTGGTTATCTGGTTGTAAAAGGTTTATCTGGAAAGAGAGAGAGATAGGGTTAAGTTGTGAAATTATTAACATAACATAACCTAACATCACGCCTTTTATCCTCGAAATAGTAACAACAGACAAGAGGTTAGGGAACTTAATGCAACTGTACAATGTAACACCCACTTTTTACTATTTATGTTATGAGTCTCATGTTATAGGGGGTGAGTGTATTACCATATACCGGGCACAATTATAATATTTTAGTATTAGAAGAGTTAAACAGGGTTAAGGTTGAGCGGTTCGTAACAATTACATTATATTAAGTGCTAGCTTAAAAGACGTTAGCCTTATTGCACTGGGTGTATTATATGGGTTCTCTACGTCTGTACATAAATTGTCAAGGAAAAATAACCCTTAAGCTAACTGACAAAGAGTGCATCTATTATGCACATCTTTATGTTTTTACACTTATGTAATGATGTATAAAACCTATAAAGTGGGTTTCATTCGAAAGAACAAAATAAATATCAGTATATTGCTACTTCTTCAAGGAATTTTCGACTTAAAGTGCTTCTAATTAGAACTATATTATTATCTAAAATCTAATAAATACTTACCACAACTGAAACTCGAGCAATTTTATAATCCTGTGCAGAATTAGGGTTGTCTCGTGCCGTCACACTGAACTTGAACGGCAGTACATCTTTAGGAACATTCTCGAACGTCTTTATATTGCTTATTTCGCCTGTATCCTCGTCCAAACTGAAGTACTCTTCTGCAGCTTTAGTCCAGGAATTCTTGTGGTATACTATTTTGCCGAAGTCACCGCTGTCTTTGTCTTTGGCCTGGAATTACGGAAATGTTGATTTAAATACCTTTTTCAATGTTTAGAAACGAAAACGCCTAGGTTGGCCGCGGATATAAAATCGTCTTATACATATCTGTAGAATTAGATGGAACTTATAAAAGACAAGAAAAGGCTTTGGTTAAATAAAAACTATTTTTTTTTTTATATAAAATCCCCGAGATATTAATATTTTGGTAATACAGGTGACAATACACTAAAGAATTGTTACTATTGGACAGTTAATTGTTTGGGCAATTCATTTGAAAGTTATTAATGGATTCGGTCATCAAAGAACCGAAAATGATACGTTAAGATTCGAAATTCAAAAAAATGAGTCGTCATTATGATTCAGATAATATGCTGATATTATGCAATTTCGTAATTCATACACAAAGAGCATTCGTACACCGTATTCGTCTGATATTTCCCGATGTTACAGGCAGAAATGGTTTATAAACCGCAGTTTTATTTCTTCTTCTCTTATATATCTTCTGATATATTTCATTACGGGAACCAAGACAGTTATTCATGTCCCTTGGACGCGGCGGACTTAAAGGTTCCGGTGTTTTTATAGTTTATATCAGGGCTGTCCAAACTAAGGCCCGGGGGCTGCATGCGGCCCGCGTTTTGGTTTCATGTGGCCCGCGACACATTTTAATCTCAACATCTTCATCTTATATGTAACAACAATAATAAAATTCAGTGTATGATTTGTCTACAAGTATTGTCTGTGAGTAAAAAATATAATGTTAAACGTCATTATACAACTGAAAATATTTTTCTGGCCCCCCAGTTTTTGTAAGAAATTTAATTAGCCCGCGAGGGTATGTAGTTTGGACAGCCCTGGTTTATATCTACTGTAGATCCTAGCTTACAGGAGTTACAGCTGTTCTGAGTGGTGGAGGGTTAGTCCCATTAAAAAAAACTGCAGTACAGTTCTTTATTAGAGAACGCTACTGCGCAGTGTCCATATAAATGTATGTAGCCTTTAACCCGTCGTGTGTCTAAACGTGGATCCACGCGAGACACAACGTATTTTTTATTGTGTCTTCATATACAGGCATTCAAGCGGTTAAGTCGGATCACACGATACTCACGAAACTGACACCCGTTAGTCTCATGTGACATAAATACAATCTACTTTATCATCACAATACGACTTAAAATAAATAGAAAACCAATGAAAACTCACCTTAACTTGCAAAAACCGGGTACCGAGCAACATATCCTTGTTCACAATAGCATAGTACTTTCCTTTCGCCGTAGCTATAGTGCTTTGTTCAGGGAACACAAACACGGGTTCGTTGTCATTCGCATCGGTTATATGGACTTTAATCGTTGCCTTACTATTCTCTGGGTTTATTAGACCCTGTATAGATTCTAGTTGGACTTCCAAAGAATACTCAGCTAGAGTCTCAAAGTCTAAGGAACTTGTGTTGAGGTAGATTGCGCAGTCTCGTTCTTCTGTTAGTTTTACGTAGAACACTCCTGTGGAAAGGAAAAGGCAATAGTTTTAGGTTATTTTTGGACAAAGTAAGTATCGCCTCTATAAAGGAGTTATCAGATGACATTGAAGGTTTATAATATAGAAGATATTATGTACACGTTTATGTCTGAAAATAGTCTCATATGTGTGTGTATGTGGTCATTTTGAACAAGTGGTCACGTGATGCTATTATCCAGCCGATCATGGTGCTTACTCTTTAAACCAATCTCAATGTCAATTTCAATCCAATAGAGTCTCTATAATTATTCAATTTCGAAACTATACAACCCCTATCGTAGCTGTTGAAATAGCATTTAGAGTACGAAATATAAAGCCAAACTTAATACCATTTAGTTCATTACATATCCACGCAATACGGAGGCAATGGGCGTTAGTGAGCAACTCAAAAATAAGCCTCCATATCAGAATGATTGCCCATTAAAACCTCAAGCTTTACATTAACTTGACTTTAGAAAAAAGAACTTTAAAGTTTTACATTAACTTGACTTTAGAAAAAAGTACTTTAAAGTTTTACTTTAACTTGACTTTAGAAAAAAGAACTTTAAAGTTTTACATTAACTTGACTTTAGAAAAAAGTACTTTTAAGTTTTACATTAACTTGACTTTAGAAAAAAGTACTTTAAAAAACAAAACTTAACTATAAAATTAGTACTTATAGGTATTTACAAAATGAAGACACTTAACTTCTTGTCTGTCGATATATGAGACACAATAGGATACACATTGTGTCTCGCATAGACCTGCGTTCCAACAGACAAGAGGTTAAACCAAAACCAAACTCACTAAGATTAACATCAAAAAACACCACGCAAAAAAGAAAAACCATCAAAGAAAAAGTAACCAAAGAAGTACCAAAAGCTGGAAGGAGATCAGTAAAACTTCGACATAATATCTTCATTTAGCATACCTTCCATCTTACCTTTCTGCGACGACTCCGTGAGTCGACACTTGAGCGGTGTGTCGGGAGAATGTTCCCGTTTGTTCAGTAGAGGAAGGATCCTGACTAGTGTGCCGTTTGGGGAATTCTCTGCGACGTGTTCCGTGTATACTGTGTCTGCGAAACCGAGGCCGACCTGTGAAGGAGAATGAGATTGAGCAAGAGAGGAAAAAGATAAGTGTTTCTGTGAATAAATAGGAGTCAATGGAATTTTCTATAATTTGAAATGAAAATTAGCTTTTGATCGAGTTACAAAATAGGCAGAGGACTGCCTTAAAAATACTTTGGAAGAATTATCATTAAAATGTTTCTAGAAAACGGAATGTTATCTTCTAATAATCATTTCTATTGTAATGGCTTTTCCACTGAAATATTTATAATAAAGTGAATGCAAACTTACATCTGGTGGAACGGTAGCTGAATGGCTAACGTAGACTGTTAAACTAGAAACTGAAGACATCACCGGATCACCTTGGTCGTATGCTTGCACGTCCACCTAGAAAATAAAGTTTACACATTAAATCATCAAGGATTACAAGTTTTTTTACCCAAATGGAACTTACTACTTTATGTTATTTTAACAACAGACATCTAGTCCAATATTAGCTCCTCAACTACTCAGGACAATGGACGAATCTCGTGATCTGCCGAGATACATTAACGCAAAGTTGCAGTATAGAAGTAAAAGCGAAAATACGCAAGCACTTTCAGCGATTCCCAAATAGCGAGCAACGCAATTATAGCTCCTCTAATGTAAGATGCCGATTGCATCCTATTAAGTTAATAGTATTTAGTCCGTCAGTTATATAATAAAAAATATTAGACACATGTTGTATAACAAAATAAAACTAAGACAAAACGGATTTTTTTAGAAGTGGGAGGTCGTTACGTTGCCTTACCCTATAAAATGTGACGTCATTTGTGTCAATTTGACGACAAATAGAAATCGTGACGTCACACGATATTTCAAATCTATCGAAAAGAAAAAATACGTGTCTATTTGTCTAATGTTTAAAAAAAACTACATTAAAATAAAATTTATAATTCTACCCTATTTATATCCGTCTGTTCTTTTGCTGCTCTTTGCTATAAAAAATAAAGTTAAATAATAATACTCACAGTATATTCACTATCAGCCTCCTTCCTCAGGTCATCTCGAACCCTCACGGCGCCAGTATCAGGTTCGACGTGGAAGTAAATGGAAGCTTTGCCCCTTCCAACCAGTTTGTACCGGATTCTATTGTTTGGTGGAGTAGCGTCACCGTCCATTGCCACTACTGTCTGAACTAGACTGCCGATTGATGAAGAGTCTTCGATAGTAACTGGACGGACTACTGAGGTAAATATTGGGGCGTTGTCGTTTTTATCCTGGAAAATGTAGGAGATTGTTTAAAACGTGTTACAGCAATATAGTTTTAATTCTTAGTCATAATAATTGTTTAAACTTTTATAAGTATTGCATACGTTTTTGTTGTCTTTCTATATACAAACATAATTAAAAATGCGACGCCTCGTTGGCCAAGTGGTCGCAAGTTCGACTGCCGGGCAAGGGGTCTCGGGTTCCATTCCCGGGTCGGGCAAAGTATTACTGGGATTTTAAAAAAAATCTTAGTAGTACTCAGAGCCTGGAATTGTGTCCGGTATATGGCAATAGGCTCACCCCCTATTACACGGGACTCATAACATAAATAGTGAAAAGTGGGTGTTACATTGTACAGTGGCATTAAGTGCCGTAATGTGCACCTCTGCCTACCCCTCCGGGGATAAAAGGCGTGATATTATGTTATGTTATTAAAAATGGTGTTATAATCGTTTGACTTTTTAACAATAATTCATAGGTCCGTGTTTATTGGTAAGGATATAATTCGACACTAGCGCCACCGATACTGTACTAAATGCCAGCAATTTTCATTTTTAAAACCATGTAAAAAGAAGAAAGTTGTTTGAGATTGTTTGATAGTAACATTCAACTCTACACATATCCCTTTACAGAACAAAATACAATACATTAGAAGCATACTTACATCAACTAAAATTTCAACAGTAGTTGTAGAACCGGGCTGTTCCTCGTTATTTTCTTCAGTCCCCACTATAAGTTGATGCCTGGCAGTTATCTCCCTATCCAAAGGTTTAGCAGTCCTTATCATACCGGACTTACGGTCTATTGTAAACAGTTCATTGTCTCCCATTAAAATTGTGTATGTTATTTCTGATATTGTGTCTGGATCTTCAGCCTGGAACGATATATTGAATGGTTATGGGTTAAGACAGGGAAAACTAGATTTTGAGGGATAAGTAATAAGGTTTGTTTTAGATATTTCGCGAAAGTTTTCTTAATTATGTGTAACGGAATGATACAGCGTAAACTATACTAACTTTACTAAACAATAAAGTTCATTTTTTAATTGTGGTCACGTGAATTTTGAAAGCGAAGAAGAAAAATCGGGCGTCAAAAATTTACAATACTAACCTGAACCTTAACAACGGGGTAATTAGCAGCATTTTCGGGTACATGTACTGAGTATAATAGTTTGTTGAACACTGGCGGTTCATCAGGTATATCTGTCACTTGTACGGTCACTGATGCGGTCCCAAGACGCTTGTCTATCGCTCCGTCTGTTGCTGTTACTACGAAAGCGTATTCCTGGAAGAAAATAATGTATTTCAATGAATTTTAGACTTTAATAAATGTAGTTAAAGTAACAATTTTATCGTAAACAGCTTGTGAGAGGTGTGAACTAGACTATTAGTGTCTCCGACATCAGACGGTTTATCAACACACTTGACAAGCCGGTTAATAACTTAGACATTTAGTTTAAATGAGAAAACGCTAGTACTCGGTCTGTGTCAAAAATGTAGTCCCTGAATGGACTATAACTATACCCGCGTGGGAATTAGGAGCACAGGATAAAGTGCAATTATCTCTATTGCTACTGTACAGTTCCAAATTTTAACGCTCATTTGTATAATATTTATGAAATTCAACTCTTCTTTAACACATTTTACACACACACTTACTTTAGTAGTTTCATAATCTAGTTCAGTCTTAGTACTGATCATTCCAGTTCCATTGTCGATGCTGAACGGCAGATGAGTTGGTATGCTGTAACTGACCATGGCGTTTACTCCTTCATCTATATCGGTCGCGTGAACATAGCCGACGAACTCGTTGGCGGCACCTGGAAGAAATTTTGTTTTGTTTATTTATTTATTGGTCATTCGACAGCACGGTTGCAGCGATGGCTGGGCAACCGGGCAATTGGCTGCCGCGCAATGTATCGCGGGTTCAATTCCCGCACGAAGCAACTCTTTGTGTGATCCACAAATTGCTGTATCGGCTCTGGGTGTCATGTGTGTGAAATTGTATGTTTGTAAATACACCCAAGACACAGGAGAAAATCCTAGTGTAGGTTAACGTTTTATAAAAAAAAATAGTTAAAGGCGTCTAAGTACCTAGGAGGTTATTTAACGTCAACATGATCGACACGTGTATGATTTTCGACGGTCTAATTGACCTGCTCCAAGTGAACCATCTAATCAGAGGGCTAAAGATGGTGACGTGTAGATCGCGTTAAGGTAAGATAAACTCGAACTAAGCACTGTGATCAAAGGACACAGATTCTTATATCTATTATCATCATCATAACATCACGCCTTTTATCCCCGCAAGGGTAGGCAAAGGTGTACATTATGCCACTGTACAATGTAACACCCACTTTTCACTATTTATGTTGTGAGTCCCATCTAATAGGGGGTGAGTATATTGCAATATACCGGGCACAATTCCAGACTCCGTGCTACTACTGAGAATTTGTAAATAACCCAGTAATTCTTTGCCCGACCTGGGAATCGAACCCGAGACCGGGCTCGGCAGTCGCACTTGCGACCACTCGGCCAACGAGGCATCTATAATCAATTATTAAATAATTGATAGGCCGACGTTTGACCACTGTCTCGCTTGGTGATAAGCGAATAAGCAATGATGCGGTCTACGATAGAGCACGTCGTCCCATAAGCAATTTTTATTTAATTTCGATTATAGAAACGACTGTTGTTTAGCAAAGAAAACGCCAATTATTTAGTTCCAGTTTCTCTGCCGCGGTAATCGCGAAGCGAAGAAGAGGTTCCACAGGAACAAATCTCTGAGCAATTAATATTAAAGTTTAAATAATTTTTTAGGTAATACAACTTGTTTGGTGCTTAACACTTACCACCAGGGGATTCGTCTATTAGAAAAATTGTAGTAAGTATTATCTTATCAAAATATGGCTACCTTCTTTAACATGGAACAAGTAGGAATCCTCGTCGAACTTTGGGTTGTTGTCGTTGATATCAGTGACCTTGATGTTCACAGTCGCTGTACTCGACAACCTGCCTGGATCTTCTGCTCTTACCATCTGGAAAATAGTGGAATGTTATAGGTTTTAAGGTTTATAGTTAGTAAAGTAACTAAAATACGTTTTTCCTGTCGAAGGACTGCAGGAAGAGATGCCTACGGGAATATGTAGTACCTATGTACCTCCAATTTATTTATATATGTGTTCTCCTGTGTACTGTCTGTGTGTGTGTCTGCATAAATAGATAAATAAATAAATAAAATAATTATGTATTTCCTATGGTTTGCTTTCGTCCAAATGTCTTTGTTCAAGTTACTGCGAAACTTACACATTTTTTAAACGTTGCACCACACTAGGATTATCTCTTATGTCGTGAGTGCATTTACAAACATACAAGGTCACATTCACATCACACCCAGACCCGGAACAACAATATGTGGATCACACAAATAGTTGATCCGTGCGGGAATCGAAACCGTGCCAACTGTACAATCAGTTAATTGTAATAACATCCACGCAAAACGTAATTGGTGCAATTATGCCAACTTCAGGAAACTGAAAGATTGAGAAGGAGAATTCGAGGGTTGCCTATGGTATACCTACATAGAAATACAACGATTGTTTTATGTTCACTTTTCAAAAATATTTATATATAATTAAAATCAAATCTTACCAATTGATATCTAGTCAGCACTTCTCTGTCCAGGCTTCTGATGACTGTGATGATGCCTGTCGTTGAACCAATAGCAAACTGCCGGAGGTCATTGCCCGATGCTATGGAGTATGTCACTGGCTCGTTTTCTGGGTCTTTGGCCTGCAAGTAAGACAAAAGACATTGTTAGACGACGTTCAAGGGGTTTTTTTTCTTTTTTTTATCAAGAGCTAGAGATTTCAGTAACACAAAATATGTTTAGCGTAATTGCGCGATTTTTTTTATGTGAAAAAGTGATGTAAATCAACTCTTATACACATAGTTTACAATTTACCAAATTTATAGTCGTGTTGAGCAAACTATTATTGAGTTTATTTGGTATTCGAAACACTCCTTAACACACAAGGCTTCGTTTAAAATCATAACAGTAAGTTGGTGTAGACTCTTTCTCAATCCCGTAAAGTTTAGCCGAATGAAGAACAAGGGTATAAAAAATGGTGGCCGGTGTATTAAGACTTTCACATAACTTTCACTTTCAGCGGTCGTGGTAGCCCGGAGGTTTAAGACGCCCGCTTCTCATGTTGCGTTTTCGAAACCGACCAACGTCCAGTACCAATGTAACTTTTTCAGAGTTATACATAATATGTACTGTCTAAGATTATTTAGACACTACCGACAACCGATGAATGAAAACATCGTGAGGACACGTGTTAACTTGATACCAAATTACTCACAGTAACAGTAGTAACAGTAGAATTTATAGCAGCGCCTTCAGAGACGGGAGCATAGTAATCCCGCGACGAAAACTGCGGTGGTCTTGTATTGGGGCCTGGAGCCACAGACAGTTCTACAATCCCTTGAGAACTGAGGCCCTTTGCGTCAGTCGCACGTACAGTTACGCTGTACTGTTCACCTGCTTGTAAACGACCTGTGCTGGCTGGAAATAGAAAAAAATATGTCTTAGTTTGGAATAGATGTTAGCTATGTAAAGAGGTTAATCTGTGGTCACACTCGTGCTGTTTTTTTAATATTATTTAAAAAAGGAATTCTAACCCTTCTTCTTGCAAAGAAAAGGAATCGCTTCATTGAAAAACATTTAATGTTACGAAAACGGTGAAATGACACACACTGTATTATGAAGAACTCATAAACATTTTGATTGTTATAAAAACGTGTAATCGTGCTAGTCGTGTAAAGATTTTTAATAGAAGAAATATATATTTTTTTAAAGTGGTACCTAACACTCAAGAACACAATATTATCAAACCTTCATGCACAAAAAATGAGTACAAACACGAATTTAAGTACAATAAATACCTCGGGAATCTGAACACAGGACCTGACTTGACATGACAATCAATTTAGAACCTTAAAGTAACGTTATAAGGCACTATTATTTGAATGCAACATTACAGTAAGCACACATCTGTGTGCAAACATTATAAAAGAGAGTACATAGAAAAATAGACTTTGCATCAAAACAAATAAAGTCGTTGCCATTCACAATATGGATTATGGGCAAACACAAAACAGATTCGTTTCGTGTTTATACAAAAATAAACTAAATATGGTAGATGACTAATTTTTATTTTAATGTCCATCTGGTAGAATATTTAAAATCATTAGAGACGTATTTTTTATTTTCCTACGGACACAGATACTTTCGACGCTAAGGTGATTTGAAATATCGCGTGACGTCACTTTTGTGTACGTATTATTCTCAAAATTGACGTAGTTGACTCCCAGTCCTAAACATTGATTCGTTTTATTTAGCTATTAAAATAAAAAATACGTGTCTATTTTTTTATTACCTAACTGACGGACTCATTACATTTTTAATAATAATCATCCCTATTCTCGAGTAAATAAAGTCCTATTCTGCGTGTCAGTCAGTTATATAAGGTGCTTACATATAATTCCGGTGTTAGGGTGTATAGTGAACTTGTTGCCTCCATTGTTAGACACGTGATATATGCTGTACGTTATGCGTGCGTTCTCACCCTCATCGATGTCTATCGCCTCCACCTGTGGAAATGCAAATCGATTAAGGATTATATTACTGTCAGGGTAAATTATTTTAAGAAAAATTGAATGACTTCCTTGTAAATAAACCATATTATACACTGCATAAATTTTTGTCTAGCAGTTTTATAAACAGTTGAAGTGATTCTTCATTTAATTACTATTCAATAATAATAATGTACAAATACTGCAATTTATATACTTTGCCATAAACTATTGTATGTCTAACATGGTGGAGGTCTCACAATGAAGATCTCTGAATTTGACTTTGACGATACTTGAATTATCAACAGCCTGATCCACGTAACTAGTTTTTATCAGCAGCTTCATTCGTTTGCAAGTCGAAAATGAAAATGCAATGTGCTATTGCAGGTCTAAATGCAGATTTGTTTAGACGTTTCGGAGTGATTGAGTTACTAAAAACATTCATCCGATACTCTATCCTCAAAAATGTTGTATTTTTGGTAATATTAGAAGCAAGGATTTTAAGGTAGCATCAAAGCTTACATTCCGCTTGATGATAAGCAGGCACAGTAACTTGTAATAAGAGATATTAACACTCTTAAATTGTTTTCCTAAAATAACATGTTCATGCTGGTATTCGGCGATAGATTAATATGCACTACGGTCGAAGTAACCCATTCAAGGATAGTAGAAAAATACGTACATGCATACATACATAACGTCACGCTTGTGTGCCATGGAGGCAGAGACTATGGAACGCCAATTGCTACGATTCCTACATACCTCTTTTGCTTCATCAACAGTCATCAATCTATTCATGCATGCTCGTCGGTTAAGGGTACTTTTATTTTGGCCCTTCTTTAATACATCGCCAATCAGGGCAAGGGCCCTGATTGGCGATGAGAGTAAGGACTCTTGAAACCAATCTCAATGTCAATGCAATTTCAATCCAATAAAATCTCAATAATTATTCAATGTCAAAAGTATACAACCCCTTTCGTAGATGTTAAAATTGCATTCAGAATGTGGAATATAAATCCACTCAATACCATTGAGTCCATTAAATATCCAGGCAATACGGATACAATGGCTTCTAGTATTGCAACTCATTATATGTCCGTCTAGGGCGCCTTCTACCGACGGCCCCATTCATATCCGCTCTGTATACTTCTTTCGTTACTCTACTATATAGATAGTAGAAACTAGCGTCATATTTCCAAGGAATAGAATGTTCAACGTACCGTATGCACTTCAGTAGGTTCCAAGCTAGCGGGTACAATAATCGGTTGAGTCTTCGGTATCACAGGTGCGTTATCATTCTGGTCTAACAATTGTACCGCTAACGAAGTCGGAGCTGACGCTGCACCGCCATTCGCTTCCCGGGCGACAACCTGGAAATTATCCATTTTAATGTTACTTTTATACTCAAATCACAATGTTGCTCAGAAAGAAGACCCTGATTTAGAGTACATGGTTACAATCTGGATCTGATGAACTGAGTTGTTTTTAGTGCAAGTAAATAGAAGTTTTCAATTTATTGATATTTTGGGATCTATAATAAATCGGCCGTCCCCTAAATTTAGTAAAGGTACTATGCGTAATCCTCAGGGATTATGCAGTTGCGGTATTGTTATGTTGTTTGATATCATGACTTATGTCAGGAACACTAGTGTGATTAATACGTTTTTTTTACAGTATGGTGTGTAAAGCATCCAATATTACCTGGAATCTAAATTTGCCTGGGTTGGGTGGGTCTCGGTCGAGTTTCTCATCACTGACAACTAAATATCCATCTTTGTCGATATCGAAAAAGTTTGTTGTCAATTCAAATGTGTATTTTGGAACTGGATCTCCGGGTCCCTGGAAATATAAGATACAACCAAATTAATGCACGGTTGACGCGGTGGCTGGGCAAATTGCTGTCGTGCAACTTGTAGCGGTATCGATTCCACGGAGTAACTTTTTAGGTGAACCACAAATTGTTGTTTCGGGTCTAGGTTGTGTATGTGAAATTATATGTTTGTAAACGTACCCATGACACAAGAGAAAATCCTAGTCTAGGACAACGTTTAATAAAAAAGAAAAAATTGGAATTCTCTTCAGTTAACGTGTTGATAATAAGGATGAATAAGTTAATATTATAAGGTCTGAAAATATTTATATATAGTAAGTTTCCTATTGCTATTATAAACACTTCATGAGGTTCCTTATTTTGACTTGGACCTATAGATATAATTGAAAGATACAGTTGCCAGCAAAAAATACCAGTAAACAATCAAATAGAACCATAAAGGTACTGGTACTATCGCTATATTCATTAAACTGTCAAACACCGCGAGGACACCGGTGACTGCAACCTATTGTTCTTTAATTGTGTCTATAATGACTGTACTCATAGGGTTAAGCAGACATAAATCAAATTGTGTACCATTGAGTATTTTCTAAACTTACCAAATCAGGATCCGAAACAGTTAATCTAATCGGTTTTCCATCATTGTCTAATACTTTGGTGCCTTTGGGTGAATTTTCTTCCACTTTCCCTTCATCAGAAGACACTTCAACAACTGGTGGACTGGCGTCTACCGGTCGCACTGTGATCGTGAGCTTCGCTGTTGTGAAGCGACGCGCTTCTGTCACTTCTTCGGCCTGTAATATTTGAGAAGTTAAATTGTATAAGCATGTATTATGACTGTTTAATTTGCTTTTATTTGAGACGTACTCGTCAAAAATGGTAGCAAACTGACGAAAGAATAGTCGTGATTTTTAAAAGCTCAAGTTAAGTTACAGATTGAATTTTGACGACTTAAACTTCTTATCGATCTCCAAGGGCAATGTATGTAAGTTAGAATGTAATTAATCTTATCTTTTACTATTATATAAAGCGGAAGAGTTTGTTTTTTGTTCGTTTATTTGAACGCGCTAATCTCCGTAACTACAAGTCTGATTTGAATAAATCTTTTAGTGTTGGATAGCGTACTTATCGAGGATGGCTATAGGCTATAAAACATCACGCTACGACCAATAGGAGCTGAGCAGAGCAACAAAAAAAATTAAGTTTGACACGCAAATAACACATAACAATAAATGACAAAATATGCGCCTCAACATTTTAAAAAACATAATGCTGCACCTTCTAAGAGCGAATGACCGATTAAGTCTCACAGTATTAACCATCTGGGACTTCAAAATACCTATAACTTTTCATGAAAAACCCGCCCATTATTTGTAGACCCATCCTTACCTTAATAACTAGCTGGAACTTCTTAGCAATAGAAGTGTCAACAGCAACTAGTTGCCTCACAGCGCCAGTGTTGGGATCTATAGCGAAGTAAGTGTTCCAGGAATCTGGTTCCCCACTGTCGATGGTGTATTTGATCCTTGCGTCCAACGTGTCCATGTCTACTGCTTGTATCTTCTCTGGCTCTATGGTTAGGATGCCTGCTAAAACTCCGCTGTTTACCTGATGGAAGGGATATAGATTTTATTTTTTATGGGTTGAAGTGAATGAGTCTTAAGTAGTATACGAACATAACAGTAAAAGAGGCATCTCATACAGTTCACGGTTTTTAAGATTATGTTTATTATGTGAATAATCTTTCCATGGTTCATAGAGAAGTTTAACCTTAATCGCTAGGAAACAGTAGGTATCAATTTTAAGTAGTATCAAGTGATCTAAGATTTTTTTAATGGAATAAGCCGGTAAACAAGCATACGTATTACCGGATGGTAAGCAATCCGCGCCGCTCATTCATCCGAAACACCAAAGTGCGCTACCGGCCTTTTGAGAATTGTTGGGGTTCCGGGGGATTGGGGACCCCTTCCCCAATCCCCCGTTTTAGTTGGACCTTCAGTAACCTTACTCTCACGACGAAACACAACGCAAGCGTTGTTTCACGTCGGATTCCTGAAGGGCATAACCTGGGTGTCCTCAAGGCCTGAGTGAATAATTTGCTTATGGGTCGACGTGCTCCATCGTAGACCGCATCATCGCTTACCACCAGGCGAGACAGTGGTCAAACGTCGGCCCATCAAATATACCTATGTATTTGAAAAAGAAAAACAGGTTTTCTGTCAGGTCGTAGTCTCCGGTCGAGCCGGCGTTCGTGCCAAAGCATGGCTGTCCTGGGTCTCCAACTTTTAAAGTGTAATTGTAATGTTTCAACTGTAAATACTGCAGTCCTTAACAGCTTGAATGCACCGATATGAGACACAATAGAAAATGCATTGTGTCTCGCGTGTATCCACGTTTAGACACACGACGGATTAACCTCTCGTGTGTTTCTCGTACACACGGGTGTACGAGAGAGTTGAGTGCCCATCGCGCAATTGTACACACAGGTCTACGAGAAACGCGCACCGATTGGATATTTTTTCTGTGACGTATATTTTCAAGTTTGCAACCCGTTCTTTATTTGATTGAACAGAATAGTTAATTCGCTTTTCTATTAAAATATTTACCCGTGTGTACGAGAACGCGCGTTTAAATGAAATTTAATTGGTTTTCTTAATTTATTAAATAAAATTAGCATAACCTGCGGATTGAAGCTCGTACACACGGGTGTACGAGAGAGTTGAGTGCCCATCGCGCAATTGTACACACGGGTGTACGAGAAACGCGCACCGATTGGATATTTTTTCTGTGACGTATATTTTCAAGTTTGCAACCCGTTCTTTATTTGATTGAACAGAATAGTTAATTCGCTTTTCTATTAAAATATTTACCCGTGTGTACGAGAAGCGCGCGTGAGATTAAACCAAGCTACCTTTGAGCTGATCGATGAAAATCATGTACCTTTACTACTAGGAACAATCTTCTCCATTTTTCTTAAAATAACAAAGTGATACGTACATAGCTAGTATACTCCGGGTTAAAGCAAGCTCCTTCATGCAGCGTGCAGCCCTTGTATATAAAGGATGGGTCCTGGTCATCATCATCTTGTACGACCACGGTTAACGTAGTAGTGCTGGACAGACGTTTCTTTGTATCACGGGCACGATCCTGAAATTATATAGGATATATTTAATATTACTATTGATAGATCTGCCTCGTTCGATAAGGGGTGTTAGGTTCGATTCCCGGGTCGGGCAAAACATGACTGGGTTTTTAAAAAAAATCTCTGTAGTAGCATGGAGTCTGGAATTGTGCCCGGTATATGGCAATAGGCACACCCCCTATTACATGTGGGACTCATAACATAAATAGTGAAAAGTGGGTGTTACATTGTACAGTGGCATTAAGTGGCGTAATGTGCACCTCTACCTACTACTTCGGGGATAAAAGACGTGATGTTATGTTATTGATAGATCTGTAATATCATAATTTTTCAAACAACCATTATTTAGTTTGACATCTGTTTATCGAGTCTCGAATACTGGATAACACATTTTACTAATAAAATTCGAATACTTGACAACATATTTTAATAATTTATCTACAATTTAGAACAAAATTGTTTATTACTGTGCACCAAATAATAGTTGAACCTTTACACGTATTTTACGTATTATCTAAACAATCATTACGCAAAAAGTTAGTTAGAATCTACAGTTCCGAACTCAAAGTAACAAATTGAAAAAACAAAACTAGACAACCAGACTATAAGACCAAAGAGGTCAACCTCTTTTTATCTTATGTTCTCCTAGTACCGATTAGTAAGAAGTAGGGCAATAACAATTATTTCATAGTTTAGTTGTAGTTAATTTTAAGTTGTAAATATTTATGTAGTTATAAACAATGTAGTGTATCTTTACGTAATATCCCGAGGTTATATTTTTGAATAAAATGATGTTATTCTTTGATTTATGAACTAAAACAACAATGTAAAATTTGTAAAATACTGATGAAATGTTTGTGTATTGCTGACACTTCGATTGTCTTAAGGATGTTTATACTTACAGAAGCAAGGATAGTGACTAGATACTTCTGCGTGCGCTCGTAATCCAAGCTCCTATTGACTGTGACCTCCCCCATATGAGGCAAAGGTATCGCGAAGCTCCCATACCCATCTACTGCATTCGCCGCCTCTAATGTTTTATTATCTCCTGGTATTATAAAGTATTCCGATAGACCATTGACGCCAGCATCGAGGTCTACGGCTTTGATCCCATCGAATATTGTTGTCCCGATTGGTACCAACTGAAATGAGTTAAAATAAATTATTATCATCTGCTAATTTATTACAATTTCTTTCGATGAATTTTCTTATAGCTGTTTTTATAATCACCCCAATTTATAATAAGTTATGGTTTTGTGATTCTCATTTATTTTCTAACCTCATTATAAGTATCTGAGTCATTACAAGTACCTACTTCATAAGATGAATTAAACTGTCAAACACCAAGCGGTCACCGGTGACCGCAACCTATTGTTCTATAATTGTGTCTATAATGATGGTACTCGACGAGTTAATTTATGACAAATAATTTACTTCTTAACATGTTTTACAATAAATATCGTGAGATATGCTGAATTAACTAAAAATTACGAGTGACTCACGTGAATATATTGAGAAAAGCTCTACTAGTTTCGAGTCACAGAGGGACTCTTCCTCATGAACAGCCTACGTAGGCTGCACGACATCGCCGCGACAACTAGTATAGCTTTTTTTATTATATTTACGTGAATAACTCGAAATTTTTTGTTAATACTTCTTACTTATACAGACATGAAAACATATTAAACAAATTCACTATATTTAAAACACGGCGTACGGTTTTCTATGTCTATACAAGCCGGTAAAGCGTTAGCATTAACCACAATATTACCTCAGAAACAGTAGTTTCATATGGCATCCCTTTGAATACCGGCGCATTGTCATTGATGTCCGATACTCTCACTATCACCGGTATAGTCCGTCTCTTCTTCGTCGCGTTCACCTGACAGACCAGCTGCAAACCAATCCATTAATTACACACTAAATAACTTCTCGCATACATTAATAACTACTACATTAGCTCTAGGCTATATATTAATAAACATAATTCGGTTAGAGAGAAATGAATCGTTCGATATACATCGCAATCCATTTTGAACTCTAATTTTCGAGCTTTAAGTTGGAAGTTGATTGGTAAAAAATGTTACTGGCTACTTATGAACTGTCTGGAAATCTTTATAAATTGTTTGACAAATAATCGTAAGGTGATTATGATAGATAATTTATTTAACAATAATAAAAAACGGCTTAAGGATAGCTTATTCGGTTGTTGAATTGACAATGAGATTTCGAACGTGGGAAATGTTTATTTGTTATGAAATCGATGACCTACAGTCGCAGATGTTCAAACTATTCGCGTGTCCACACTTTTTATTTAGTTATCTAATACTAAGATTATGCGCACCTTATTATCTGTTTAGTATTCAATGAGAAATAAATTATCATATTATTTTCTGGGATCTTTACTACCACCCTATTGATTAAGTACTTAGTCATTTGTCCGACTATCACATCTTAATTCTCTACTATCGGGGAACCCCGTAAAGAAAAAACATCACGCTTAACATGTTTAAAACTCACCTGGAATACCATATGCGACAAATTATCAGCATCCCTATCAAGAGGTTGCAACAGCTGCAACCTCTTTCCATCAAGCTGGAAGAGCGTGGGGCCCTTGGGGAATACCGTGGACAACACCACGTCCACACCTGGTTCGCCGACTATTGGCAGATCAGCCGGCACTGTGCTTTGGTTCACCTCTGTAATAAATAGAAATCTTATAGGAAATTTGTATGATACAGGACTAGGTATTTATTTATTTTATACTTTATTGCACACATAGAAAACTGAGACAACAAATCTGGGAATGGGCAGTAGGTGCACAATAAAGTAAAAGCAAAAAAAAGAAAACAAAAATTGAAAGAAAAAAAAAAACAAATTAAACAAACAATATTTTAAACTACATACAATATCGATAGGTATAGTAGGTATCATTATTAATTTTGTGTTGTTCTGTCTTCTCCGCAAGAGTCGACTTTAAAATCATAGGAATATGGTGGCCACTGAGTGTACCTATAATCAAGTCTTAATAATGGTCTGTACTTACGATCTCCTCTACTTTCTTCTATATCAACTATTATGCTAGACTGGCCCGTTTCCACTTCACATGGACCTGTAAAGAATTAAAAAAACATAAAAATATTGGTGCCATTTTCGTCCAAAGGCGAAACTGATTTCTGATATATAACAAAACATCTGATATAACCTAAACCATAGATGTAACTTCACACATACATTTACAAATAAAACCAAACAATTTCCAATTAAAATTCAAACCCTAGATTTGAACAATTCCCAGGGCAATTGTAAAATAAAACCGTGAGCCACTAATCCCACATTAATCACCAAGCAAGCTGAACAATGCATTTAGATAAGGGACTACAAAGCTTGCAAATCTAGAGGTAGATTGTACATACTCGTGGAACTAACAGTTTGCAATAAATAACTGAATCGACAGGTGCACGAGACCTTACCTTCGTTAGGCCTTTGAACAATTAATTAAGCTTTTGCAAACGTCGCCTTTCGTTTCCTATTAAATTGTTCTTAGATAACTGTAGTTCATAGGCGTTTGAGATCACTGATTGAAGAATTCTCAAGGTACTATGTAGTTAAGGATAAGCGTAGGAAAGAATGTGTTTTGAACTCGTAAGCAATCAATTAATGGATCTGTGGGCCGTCAAGTCAGTCAGTCAGCTAGCTAGGGTAGTTCGCCGCCCAATCAGAACCAGCCCCGTGCGTACGACTACTCAAAGAGCCATCAGGGTGCTTACTCTTGAAACAAATCTCAATGTCAATGCAATTTTAATCCAATAAAATCTCAATAACTATTCAATGTCAACACTATACAACCATAATCGTAGCTGACAAAATAGCATTCAAGGTACGGAATATGAAGCCAAACTCGATACCATTTAGTTCATTCAATATCCACGCAATTCGGATGCAATGGGCGCTACTGTTGCGACTCAAGAGTACGAAATTTCACAATACCAATGTCGATCGACAGATGGTGCCGATACCGAGCCGCGGAAGGTGTAACGGGTTGTCGGGGCTCCCGCTCGAAGAGCAGGAGTAAGAACGGGGTGGTTTTTAGTCAGTAAGAGTCTGACTCCCTCTCTCGCCTAACCAAAGGCGGTAGAAGTCACTGGATGAATTTCCCCACTCAAAAAAAGGCAATCAATTAATTCCAACATTAATTGCACGTTCTATTATGTACTTTGCTACCCATATTCCACTTGAGTAACTGCTTGTAGAAATTCATATTAATAGTAACTTCATAGTTTATACTACGCAATTAAATGCAACCCTATTAAATCCATAGCTAATTTTATAACAAGAGTTATGACTAACTTATATAAAGTACGAGCATCGTAAAGGTAGGATCAATCGTAAGGTACTAAAAACTTGATATGTAACGAGTGTTTAATTAATTTAAGCCAGTAAAGTATAGACAATAAATTTTATTCCCTTTTATGGCCAAAACCCCAGTTCTTGAATATTTCTCTACGTTCTTCGAGAGTGATTCATTCAAATTTGGAACACCTAACAGATACCTATGTTATCTGACTATTTGTAGTATAAACGAATACTAATTTACGCAGAAGAATACAATCAAAGATTGATTTTTTCTTATCTTATTTTTTTCCAGTCAAATACTGCCTTTCAAAAAGTTTTATCTAACTGTTCCTCAAGGAAGTATTGATTACGAAAAGTGTCCATACCATCTGTTACGAGAAATATACAAGTGATAACATTGCGCTTAACCAATATGTGCCAAAGTTACTAACCTCCTAACCGAGCATGAGAACCAATCAATTAGACCGAACCAAACATTGGTCATTCTTTAAAATATACATACCAAACGCAGTGTTAATTAGCACACTTACAACAAGATCTTAATAACCACATATATTTCGTTTCCCTATAAAGGCAACTAACCCTTCCTTATAAGTAATCGTTCCAATTAGAAAATACTACCCGTACCTTGTTCTCAAGTACTAAGGATTCTTGTAAATCGTACGTTCAGGCTTTTAGGCAATTAATACTGTGTTTGTTGTAAATAAATTAGTTAGAACATGTTACAGTTATGTTACGGGAAAAGTTGTATCGCCGTTTTCTTCGTAGCATGAGTTTGTCGGACTTTGCCCTGGTAGCTTAGGGTTGTTGCGTTTTCAACCTTATTAGGAGTTGTTTAAAGTTGGATTTGTCTCTATTTGGACAAGGAATGTTTTAGCATTGTTATATAGTTTCGTGTCTTGCTTTTGTCCTTTTTTTGAAATACAATAGTAAACTCGGTGCTTACTACAGAGATTTATGAAATAAGTGAAAACTGTTGATGGAATTTTTTCCTCTAGCGCCTCTCGCCTCTTTTCACTGGCGACCCAATGGCGTTTATCGTGCCTATTAGTGATCAATGCATCCGTTAAATACTCAGACAACTATAGAAGTTGACTTAACAGATTGCCGGGGCTTCGGCTCGAAGGACAGGAGTAAAAACGGGATGGTTTTTAGTCAGTAAGAGTGTGACACGAGTCTGACACTACCGCCTCATTCAGATGGGAGAAGTCATTCGATGATTTTTCCCCCTTAAAAAAAGATTTTGTCCCAAAATTATACAAGAAATTACAGTAACGTACTAATATCACATACCTAAATAAACACCCATGTAACTAACCATTTCAACAACACGCCACACAACGTTTTTTTCAAGCTCGACTGCCTATAATTTGTATGAATGAAGCGAGCGATGACGTCACTTCATTACTACAGCCATTCATTCATTTATCCATTTATGTACGTAAACACGTAACAATAGAGTATTGATTTGTTTGACAAACACGATTAATGATGTGATCTTGTTAGTTGACAATGCTTATTCTAGTTTTAACGTACGACGCATAAAAATGTAGGAAGTTTCAAGTGTTGGATTTTCTATGGCTTTGTTTGTAGGCTGAATTGAACGTAAATAGGTTTTTCACTCCATACAATAGGGTAGATGACTAATTATTATTTTAATGTCCATTTTGCAGACTATTTAAAAAAAAATTACACGTATATATCGACAATATATTGATTTGAAATCGCATGACATGGCCTTTGTATATGATTTATACTCAAAAATGACTTATCTAAGTATCATTTTCTTATACGACAAAATAAAAAAAAATTGTGCTAACTGACGGACTAATCAGATTTTTAATTTTCATACCCTGTCATCATCTTTATTACGATAGACAATGTGTATTTGTTAATTGTCGGTTGAGTTAAACATAAACGACCGCAATTAATAACTGTTTTTTTATTTCTTTTTGAACCAAAATCTCAGTAATACATAAACGATTCATTCATTAACATACTCACGCCTTTATCCCCGTTGGGGTAGGCAGAGTTGCACATTACGGCATCTAATGCCACTGTACAATGTAACACCCACTTTTCACTATTTAGGTATGTTATGACATCCCATCTAATAGAGGGTGAGCCTATTGCCATATACCGGGCACAATACCAGACTCCGTGTTACTACTAAGCTTTTTTGGAAAACCCCAGTAATAATTTGCCCGACCCGGGAATCGAACCCGAGACTCCTTGCCCGGCAGTCGCACTTGCGACCATTCGACCAACGAGGCAGTCGATAATATTAATTTTTATTATTAAAAATATAGATAACGATAGATTTTATTTAACTCAACGAAACAAAATCGTTTATTGGCAACATCACTATTTCATTGTAGTCATTAACTTATAACACAGAAAATTTGATTTAACTGAATTGAATTAAGAATTTCACCATAAACCTAGAGTTGGACACATAAAGTCTAGCCTGGAATAGATTTCCATTACATCTTTAGAGTCGTTTATTTTACAGTCGACATCGGAAGCTTGGGTTGATTACTCGTAAATACATCGGAACCTACTGTCTTCTACCGTATTAACGGTACTTGCAATCGAGGAAGGACGAAATGCGTGTATAGTTTTTACAATATTTAAGTTACGTTGGTAATTTTGAAGAGTGATATCCCTGAATTTGGAAAAGTAGGATTCTTATTGGTAAAATGTCGTGGTGGCCCGAAGCTTTAAGACGCCTGCTTTTCACGCATGAGGGTTCGAAACTTACTAACGCCAAGTACCAATGTGACTTTTCCGAGTTATATGTACTTTCTAAGATTATTTAGACACCACTGACAAACGAAGGAAAAACGTCGTGAGGAAACCTGGGTTTATAATTTCTAATTATAAGGTTGAAATCGTTAACTCGCATTGAACAAGCGTGGTGATTAATGCTCAAACCCGTGTGAAAAGAGGCCTTTAGTCAGCAGTGGTCTGGTCACTGGTAAATTCTCATTCATGTCAATGAAAATGAAATCCAGCTGAATACATGGGAAAACGTATGGTTCGTACGTAAATTCAATTAATGCACATAGTCCAGTATTACTTACCGGGCGTTGCCCTCGCCACTTGCAGTAAGCAGAAGAACACAAGGCAAGCCGTTGATCGTCCATGCTGGAGCGCTCTCCACCGCGCCATCTCACTGTAACAATAAAGAATATAAAATTAATAAAATATTTTTTTCAATAAAGCTTAAGTAAAAACTAATAAACCCAAAGATAATAAAACAAACTAACTTTAAGTGCAAACTTCAATACTATAAAATCCTCACAATGTAACTAACGAAGCACTGAAAACAAATTCACAATAAATGTAATTTCATTAAATCATATTATTCAACAAACCAACCTATCCACATTGAACACAAAATGGAAATAACACAATTAACTAAAAAAACTCAGCATTTTTATACACAATAGAAAACAACAGCCCTTCTATAGCCGTACAATATCAAAGAACAATACCACAACGTGTTTTCACTAACTCATCTAAAGACAAAATAAATGATATAACACACGAACAAACAGTAAGCGTAATAGAATAACAAAATAATAACAAACTAGATAATAAATCGCAACTAGATGTAATAGGAAACGCAGTTCATCGACAACTCGTGTTACTAAAGGATAACACGGCTGCAAATGACGACGGTAAACTGACAAGCAATATCGCGATAAAAACGCACTCAGCTAACAAATTAACGCTTCGATCAGATCTCAATGATGGTAATGAGAAAGCTCGTAATCGATGGCTATAAATTATAATAAAACAACTTCAAGATCCAATAAAACAAGTTAATGCTTATGATGAAATATTTCTTTGCGGAATTGTTTAAGAAGATTAGGTTACAGAAATATCTAAGATAGCAATCGGCCTGGATTATGATGTAAGTTTAAACTAGAATGTGTATTTTCAAAACATCTCGGATTAGTGGATACAATTCAGATCTCGATTGATAATATCAATCCTATCTACATGAAATTTTACATTCGTATTGCATAATATAGGATACGTAAACTACTAAGTGGAATAATCCAGTGAAATCCATAAGTGGAGCAAATTCATTCTCACATTTGTAATAACATCTAATATTAATGCAAATAGCTCAGACTTTATTGATAGTAATGCGAAAATTTGCGATCAAGAGATTTAAATAATAATAAATAAGATATTCGTCGTGAGTTTCGAAGCCACTAGAAATACCAGAGAAGCATTAAAGGCTGTTACTTATCGCTCGCATAATAACAGTAAACCTTTAGGAGGTAAGTGATAAATAATGAAGATGAGATGCAGATATCACGGTAGTCATTATAGCAGAAAAAGCTCTTAAAAGCAAAATACCATTACGTGATATTTATTGGCAAAATAACATCAGTTCAGCTGTCCACGAACTATACTCATAGGAGCTGCAACGAAATAGTCTTGCAATGAATTTAAAAATCGTTTCTCAAAATTCATGCACTATAATTTAGGTTAGGATGATGGATAGTTTCTTGCTGTTTGAACCTTGGAGATTGAAAGGAGCAAAGATTAAGTACTCAATGTCAGTCAATAACTTAACAAGTCAAAATTTCTGGTAGTTACAAATGTTACTGTTTCCAACAATATTTTACATGTCAACATAGCAGGCTACCAACTTCTAGTTGGACTTTCTGAAATAGATAACATTAATCGGATTACAAACAACATAGCTATCGCACCTCCAATTCTCACGATTAAGCAAACGGGCACAGCCTTGGGAACATTTTACAAAACCATTTATATCTTAATGCAATTTACAATCATTGAAATCTCACCAGGTGAAGTATAAAAATAAATGGTTTAGTATAAATTTAGTCTTTGTATTGATATTCCAGTCAATTTATCGTTTGGAAGCTTAAGACCTCAAAGCCTTGGTTTGCATTATATTGGAATTTATAGGCAGATTACTATGTTGAGATGATATTCAGCGAATGTATGAGTTCATGTTGCTTTAGATGCCATTTCATTTTGTAATCTTTACTCTTACTTATACTGATATATTTTATATTCCCTACTTAACATCCAAGATATCACTTTAATTAAGAAACTGGCTTAGCCCTCATTAGCCGCGATGCCGTAATACTTCATCCGCAGTATTGTGGGTTTCTGGTTTTACGCATGAATGCGTTACAATTTCTAGTTCTTGTGTACAATGTAAAGGCTAGAGACATTTGCACGACATTTCATAATTCAACTACAAAGTCCTGTTTAATATAAATTAGGGCACGCATAAACTACCTATTATTATGTTCAAAGTTTCGTAAATCCACTTCCTAAATCCTACATCACTGAACGTAACAAAGGAACACCTTTGCTTGCAAGCATTGTAAATTCTCATTAAGAGTACGGTCAAGTACAATTGTAAGTCAATGCAACAGAGTAATAAGGAAAATAGTCGCCTCGAGACATCCAGTTGCATTCTTTTTTTAAACTCAAGTACTAGAGTAAAATAATACATAGGCAACAACTCTAATTTGTGAAATTTGCTTGCTTAGTTGGGGAAGCATGGTCTGCCACAGTTTTATGTTGTTGCTCTATTGTGTATTGCGCTGTGTTTCTGTTTTGTGTATCTAAATAAAATAAAAAAAATCAATAAGGTACGCTTACTACTAGTGTCCTATGTTGTGGCAACACTCATCACACACACCATAATACCTGTCTAGTTTAAACTCATGTTCACCGTAACAGAAAATATCTTTCTGCAAAACTATTAATAAAGTTATGAATGTCATCAGGCCGATGCATATTTTCACATAAATAAAATGTAGTACCACAATCCCCACAGCATTTATTTTTAATACTGCTGCGTCTTGCTTGTTCTATGCAGATCTGCAAATGAATGTATCACCTGCTCATAATCCCACGCGATTGAACACAAACAAAGAAGCGAAAAGTCTTCATGCATAAATGGAGCTATTTGATTTTATGCAAAAAGTTATAAGCCGTTGTCTATAACGCGCGCTTGTTCTAAGTGAAATTATTTATAGTGGTTTATAGGTGCAATAAAACAAGCGAAGCGGTCCTGACCGGTTGCAAGTCAGAGCAAAAAGTAGACCCAGTATTAACAGGCCATTCAGAAGACAAAGTAAATCATGAGAAATTGCTAAAAGTCGCAACATCTAAGTTTGTGGGCGGAGACAACAATAAATAAGATAATGCAATGATACGGCTAACGAATGAACGTACTTTTATAAAAGCGTATTAATCTTTTGGAATTGTTATAAAGAAAGGAGAGGCACAGACAGCTATAATATTAAATTATAGCTTAGATAAATATGGTAGTTTGTATTGAGGATAAAATTACAATAACAACGATGTCAGAACAACTAACAGTGAACTCTGTAGTAAGAGAAATAAGTCTAATTTCTCATATATCATTTCACAATTACCATGATTGCTAGGTTAATCATTGGATCGTGGCCAACGATGCACGTAGCTTTAATATGTCACGCGTAGCATTTGCATGCTAAAGAGTTGTCGAGCAGCCCCCCTGGCGAAAGGACATAAAATTTGACGGGACTATGAATTTCCATTTATGGAATGCGATGTACCAACACGGAATTCTAATTAGATGGTAAATAATTGTGTAAAATGTAACTACAGAATACAGACGGCAATAATAAAAAATAGAATAATTTTAATTAATTCATTGATGAAATAACACCAGTCAAGTAGATAATAATCTTTTAAGTGACGTTCGGTGAAGTTCAGTCAAGAAATTAGAATACCGGTTGATGAATGGGCCATGTTCTTCAGATCATGTGTGGTGTGCCCACTAACATTGTCGGTCAACACCAACAAAGCAATAATGACTAACAAAATTAATCATCCAAAAAGTTGATAATTTGGTAGAAAAATACATCTGTCTCAATCGTTCTTAATCCCATCGAATTAGTACAATAAAAACAAAATTTTATATGGAAGCCCATTAATAAAAATCAACGCCTTTATCCAGGTATGCGATTACAGTTAGCCTTGATTACAAACCGTATAATCCTTTAACAGTATTACGATGAATTACGAATAGTAGGGCGCATTGACGCCTCCTATAATCCTATTAGGACCGTCTTAAAACCGTGTCACGAATATTTAGGAAATTGGTCTTCATTGTCACGGCAATTTGGTCGATATTACAAAATATTGATTAATGTAATGACATTCTGAAGTTAAACTAAGATATAGTTCCAAATGATCGTAATATTTTAATAAGTTTATTGTAATTGGGTGTCGTAAGATTGTGGCGTTTATCAGAAGTTATGGAATTCCCTTCTAAATATGTTCATCTGGGAACTAAAGAAAGAGAATTATCGTCATCGATAAGAAAATTGAAGAAATAAGTCATGACGTTGAAAACCAAGGATGACAAAATGAGGTATTAGACAGAAGTGTATCTATTGAAATTCAAAATACTGTACTTTTATGAGCATTAGGAGACTTCCTAAGTCCTCACACAAGAAACAATAAACTAAACGAGGATTTTAAGGCAGACAATACCACACAAGCAGGAAGATATTTACGGGGCAATATTTAAGATGAGGCACATTTACGAATATCTATAACGTTCAAATCCCCCACGAAGTCAAGCACAAATGGCCGAACATAACGGGAATTCTTTACTATCCACTTCTAATGACCCAGAGAAGGAAATTGATAGTGCATTTAATTTCCAAGGAGATAGAACAAGGCAATAAAACACGTCTGGAGATTGAAAACAATCATAAACATAAAATAAATTCAATGCTTTAACTGAATCTTTGAGGGACCTATCGGCAATTTGCTAAAGGAACAATGAAAAACGTCTTGGAGGCGGCTACGGAAATCTGCATACATGTAATTTGTGTTAGGAATTTGTATTGTAGTACAACAGTAACCCATCGCCATTGTTTTAGTGGATGGCCGTGCGGTCCTGGAAATGTTCAGGGGTAGTTTAACACCGATAAATGTGGATATGTTTGTTGGAAGCATTGCTGCTGAGAATATTTACCGTTCAGCAGTCGTTAGACAAATTGCTGCTTAAAAAAGTAAAGAGATTGTTAAAATTTGTATGCCCTTGAGGAATGTTTTTGCTAATTATCTACACAAAACAACTCCAATTGCGATCACATCCCACAAAAATTACTA